GACCTCTTCAGGTATGCAAACTGGTCAAGAGTCTTTATGGCCTTAGACAAGCCTCTAGACAATGGTATTCCACATTTTCTTCTTGCCTCATTGCTTTTGGTTTCCACCAATCAAAAGCTGATTATAGCTTATTCACCAAAGCTGATGGTAACTCTTTTACTGCATTGTTAGTCTATGTTGATGACATTACTGTGGCTGGTAATTGCTCGACATCCATTGCATCTCTTAAAGCCTTTTTGCATAATCAATTTAACATTAAAGATCGTGGTTGTTTGCATTATTTTTTGGGCTTGGAAGTTACAAGATCCTCCAAAGGCATACATTTAACCCAAAGAAAGTATACTTTGAATATACTTTCAGATTCTAGTATGGTAGGTTTTAAACCCCTAAAATTGCCTCTTGAACAGAATTTCAAATTACAAAAGGCCTCTGGACAGCCTCTACTTGATCCTAGCTCTTATAGAAGACTCAATGGCCGCCTTTTGTACCTCACCATCACCCGGACAGACATCTCTTATGCTATCCAGCTCTTGAGCCAGTTCATGGATCACCCCACTGACTCCCACCTTTCAGCAGCCCACAAAGTTCTAAGGTATTTGAAAATTGCTCCTGGCCAAGGCATTTTATTATCATCATCTTCTCAGTTGCAACTTCGAGGTTATTGTGATTCCGATTGGGCTTTTTGTCCTGACACACGACGCTCCACCACAGGTTATTGTGTATTTCTTGGTCGTTCTCTTGTGTCGTGGAAGTCTAAGAAACAATCAGTTGTCTCTCGATCCTCAGCTGAGGCTAAGTATCTTTCTATGGCATCCACATGTTCTGAGCTTACATGGATTAGATTCTTGCTTCGTGATTTGCGGGTACCACATCCCCAAGCTGCCTTGCTTTTTTGTGACAATCAAGCAGCTTTCCATATTGCTGCCAACCCTATTTTTCACGAGAGAACGAAGCATATTGAGTTAGATTGTCACCTTGTTCGGGACAAGATTCAAGAAGGTAGCATCATTACTTCTCATATTGCATCTCAATCTCAGCTAGCTAACATATTTACAAAGGCCTTGCCTGCCTAT